TACATATTTGAACATTCAGAATTCTTTTCCTTGGTTTTATTAAACAGATAAGGTTTAGTAGACTAATATGATCATGCTTAAAAGTCTGCTTTCCCCCTGTCACTAAAATAATACAGTATTCAATTTACTTTTTTTTTCATTATTGAAATTAACATTTTCTTTTTCTTTTTAGACAAACACAAGCGCGCGCACACACACACACACACTGTAATAAAATGCAAGTTTATCTATGCATAATTACCCCCCCCTTCCTTTTAGACAGACATTTTCTTCATTTTTGTCTGTAGCCATAATTCACTGATATATATATATATATCAGATTAAGGCTTTCTTTTGCGGTTGTTTAAATTAATCATTAGTTAAAATAAAGACAATGCATTTTGCACTAAAAGAACATACTTTAAGCTACCAAAAATCCTAAACTGTGTCGACATTTTAAAAAAAATTTAAAAAATCAAAAAAATCCGATTTAAATGTAAAAAATCTTGATTTAAATAAAAAAAATCGATTTTTAAAATTTTTATTTAAAAAATCAAAAAAATCACCAACCCTGACGTCATGACACATTTACTGATGTAACAGACAGAGAGAGAGAACATAGAAACACAGAGATAGAGAAGAGACAGAGAGGAACAGAGAGAAAGACACATGCAGACAGCACGGTGCACCGGCAGTGGAATTTTAGTTGAAGGGGGGGGGGGTCCCCGCCAAGCGCGTTTTATCACGTCGGGGTCACGGGGGTCAGCTCCCTGTCACCGCTCTGTCTGGGCTGACTTACATTTTCAACGTACAGTTTTAGGTGTATCCTTGTATTTATGGTAATTGTTTAATGCAACCAAAGAACGCATTTCTGCTCTTGAGATTTCTCATGGTAAAAGATATGATATTTGTAGTCAGTTTAACACAGATTTTGGAGAGATCTGTTGTGCCGTTTTTATATACTTTACTTTACTTTACTTTTCCGATCCAGTGGCCATTTTGATTCTAGCCCTTCGGTCTGACTTTAAAAAAATAAACAATCATTTATTCCTAAAAGTATGTAACTAAAATAGGACCTATTGGGTACTCTACGAACATTTGTCTAGAACAAAAACTAAGGCACAGAAATTAACCATTCAAACGCAGAATAAACCTCAAGGCATTGGGCTATTAGTACATCCTGTAATGGTTTGCTGTATAGAATGGGGAGAAGTTATATCGTTTCAAATGTAGACTTACTTTACTTTACTTTTCCGATCCAGCGGCCATTTGGGTTCTAGCCCTTCGATCTGTCGATATGGCAAAGAATTTACAGGTTTTAATCCGCTGTGCTTTGTGGCTGTATAGAGTATTTCCGATGTCTGGGGAGGCAGGTAGGTAGGTGCTACGCAGGTCGCAAAGTGCTGGGCAGTTAAAGAGGTGGTGTGGTACTGTTTCATCCTGGCAGTCGCACAATGGGTAGGTGCGGTTGGCTAGACTGGGAGAAGCTATATGAGACGCTTTGGTGTTTCTCATCTTTTTAAATGAGGCCCTTCACCAGCTCTTGATCCCCTTCAAATGTAGACCAAAATGCGAACTTCTTAACCGACACCGGCAAAGTTGCTTCAGGGCTCATTATACCCGTAACCCCGAGCCGTGGAGCTCCGGCGGGCTGCTGGGTCATGCTAACTAAAGGTAACTGAATCTGGCGAAAGTGACGCCGTTGTGATCACATTAATATAAGCATTGTTTTCATTGTAAAACTTGATGAAACGGTATGTTTGCCCCAGACAGGATCGCACCTAGGTGTGAACTGACGCGTTTGTGAACTGACTAATGCGTTTGTTTTCCCCAAACATCGCACTCACATCTGGACTCTCCGCCTAAACTTACATACTCGCTGGGTGGGTAGGGCCAGCAAGTTTGCCCCAGGTGGGATCGCATTGTATGTTGAACTCTTCTCTGACCATTGCAGCAGTTGTCTATACTCCCAAATTTGAGAGACAGACTGACTTTTTAATTGGTGTGGTCATAAACGTAATGGGGTGTAACGACAAAAGTGGGGGAACTGGTCAGAGATGGAAAGAGATAAAGAGATGGGGCAACTGTACAAGTGTAGATCAGATCTTGAGATTCACGACAGATAGTTTAACTCTTTTCCTACCAGGCCAAAATCCACCACTGGCCCAGGGCTTTTCCCTGACCTATTTTTATGCCCCTACCCCACCAAAGGAAAATGTCAAAATATCCAATAAACACACACAAACCATAACTTATGGCCCATCAAACTGAAGGTTAAAAAATAATCTATCAGATGGCGATACAATATTGATGATTTATTCCAATTATATTACTTTGGGGTTTCTAAAAGTGATTATGCAACATCGAAGGTGTCATATGAAATCAACAATTTTCCAGCTTTGAAAGGTCATATCTAAAAAAGTACAACAGCATCATTCAAACTTCTCAGGTAGGTTGCCTCAAGTGATGCGAAGAAATCCTGAAAGTTATGTTTGTGTACCTAACATAGAAGTGAAAATATACTGAAGTCAGGGGAGCGCTTTTTTTCTCATATTTACGTTTCGAAGGGGACAAAAAAAGGGCTGAAATAACTAAAAATCGTCTCTCAGTGCTATATTTTCTTTCGTATCTGCTAACAGGAAGTCCATTCTATTATTTTGAAAACGTGGATTGGCAGAGAACTTTGTGTCTTTTCATTACTGGATTGGAATAGATATCGAGCCACCCGAGCCGTATTTTGTGGCTCTCAGTCATGCAAGGCCAGGTCCGCGAGCCGCAAAATGCGGCTCGTGGTTTGCGGCTCGTGGTAGGGAAAGTGTTAAAGTGAAAATGGCATGCCTCATGCCACTGTGATTGGTCATCAAGGCTGACCACTCTTTGCTCCCCATATGCCATAAATTAAAAACCCACCCAGGGTCGCAGCAGTTTCTTTTAGAGTGAAGGGAGACCAATTTAGCGGTTGTGGGCCTTAACATGGGTCACTATAGATTCTTTCCTTGGTGCGTCAGGTAAGATCCCGTTCACCTAAGATCCCCCATTTTCCTGGCTCTTGAGCACCGGGATCTTAGGCAGAGACTAATGTAATATGATGAATCATGGAAAACCAGGTCCATTACTTATTTTTGCTGACATTGTCGACATTGAGATGTTATTTTTCATGATTGGACTTTTTTACTGAAACAATAATTTAATTGCTTTTGTTATTGTAAGTTGCATGCCTTGTCCTACAATTTAGATTATAAATGATGCTGGTGCTTTAAAATTTTACATCATTCTGGTAAATCAAAAATGTGCAGTACTAGTATTTAGAGTGGAGGCTGTGACCAAAGTGCTGGGAATTTAATTGGCTGCATGGTATGAAATGTCCTTCCAGATAAATCACAGGCTTAAAGATGAGGGCTCAGTGCTGCATTTGTGCTGATTTATTTGAGAATTCAGCGACTGTGAACATAGCTGCAGCCCCATGTGGCCACACATTCCACGAAGCATGTCTGATGCGCTGGATGACAACTTCCTCTACCTGCCCCAGTTGTCGAACTCATGTCAAGAAAAATCAGGTACAGTATGTCAGTTTTCACAGGGATAAAGAAAATGAAAGTAAACATTTTGACATACTATACTTTTCCTACTTGACTTCTCTCTCTCTCTCTCTCTCTCTCTCTCTCTCTCTCTCTCTCTCTCTCTCTCCTGGCGCCATAAATGGTCAGCAAATGCTGACAGCACGCAGGAACTCAATACTTGCTCAGTGGTCCTTAAAAAGTGCTGAAAGTGGGTCACTGAAATGTCACAGCAGACGTGTTCTGGCACGATAATTGGCTCAAAAAAAGGATCTGGGTAGTCTGTATCGACCCCAGGGACGCCACTTTTTCGCTTTTTTTCCGGTATTTCCGGTATTTTGATCATCATCCGCTATTCCATTAATGAGACCGGGATAGAATCTATAGCTGGAAAAGTTTTTAAAAAACAACCCACACACACACAACAACTTGTGCCAAATGTTCAAATATCGGAAAAACGAAGACTTCACTATAAGTTCCGAAGACTTCACTATAAGTTCAAATAACGGGGAGAAAACCCTCCCCCCTGGATTTTCAGCTATTTTAAAAAGAGTTGAGTGGCATCCCTGCGACCCACTTCTCTGTAGCATTCTTTTAAAATGATTGGATTTGACAGTTTTTTTTTACTATACTCAGTGACAGTAGCACAAGAATTAGGTTTCTGTTTGTGTTTGAAATCAGTTGTATTAGTTTGTTTTATTATCCGAGTTGAATTTAGAAGTGAAAACATCTTACGTAGGCAAGCGATCGTACAAGCAGGTGAAATGTCTTGGTTGAGACAAATTTTAATAATTTGACAGATCGAAAACAAGTTCCTGCACTGCAAGATCACTGTTAAATCTGAGTCTGTGCAAATTGAAACCTGTTATAGCCAGGTTCATATTACTTACATTTATAAAGAAAAAAAGGGGGATTTGATATACCACTGTTACATCCAAGTTCCTGTAATAACAGAGGGTGTTATAAATGTACTGGACTGTATTATACAGCATCAAAATCCTGTAGAAAATATAGTACAAGGCTATTAAAACTTATTATATATCACAATGCATAAGTCTAGCTTAAAATGTACCTGTATGCATGTATGTTAAATATGCTCTGTTCCTATTTGGTAAAAAACAACAACCGTGGAAATGTGTCATTTGGTGAATCAAATATGAAGCCAGGGGAAGCCAACATGTTAATCAGATGGCAGATATTGGGTATGGTAACTGATCATAGGTATTTTTCATTGTGATTTTTTGTGTTTGCTTCATGCCCAGGTAGGATTCTGGAGTTATGCTGGATTTTATTTTAGTGCATTATGATGATGTTGCTTTTTGATAACATATATGTCTTATAATCAGGAGTTTAAATTGATTTACTCAAAGGTCCTTTTTTTAATCGAAAGATTTCATTCAGCTTTCAGTGTGCTGATCTACTCTTTCATCTGTTCTGTGAAACTGTTCGGCACATTAAGCTAGCTGACAATGTCAAAGAAAAAGGATAGTGCTTACAGCTTACAGCCCAAATTGCAGTTACTAAAAGAGGTAGATGAGGGAAAAAAAACTTTCAAATTGTGAAATTAGCCTCAAGTATGACATTCCCAGCTCTATACTGTCAACAATCATCTCTAATTGAGCTACTCTCAAAACTGAAAACATGGCTAAACGGATGAAAATCTGCCAGTCCCGCTGATTTTTATTTAAGCAGACTCCACTATATATTATGTCAAGATTTTTGTTCAATAAAAGTGAGCTTGCTCTTCTCCAAGGTTTGAAGCGTGCATTGGTCAATTTCCATCTTTCATTTTGACCGTTGGTTATCTCACATTAAACTTCAATCATAATTTGATGGGTTTTTTGACCAAATTTATATTAATTTGTTTTACTCTTCGAGTTGTATTCAGAAGTGAAGACATCTTATGAAAATCTTGATTGTGGTGAGTCTTGAAGGCATAAACTTAACAATTTTTTTTGCTCTTTCAGATTATCAAACGTCTCTTTTTTGACATCTGTGAGACCGAAGGAGAGGGACCTGATGAAGACATTTGCAGACTGACTAACCAAGTTGCCAATGCAAAGGTTATTTTTCTTAAATTTGTTTTACAACATGTGGGTGATGTCTTGTACGGTTCTTAGCCCCTGATTTTGTATATAAAACTCATATATATTTTATTTCTTGCAATGGCGCTACGAGGGTAGATCAGACACTAATGGAAGTTGTCATCTTGCGGCTAAGATATTGACTTTTTTCATTAAAGCTGTACACTTAATTAATCTATAGTATGTCTATTCTTGAACCAACTACTGGAGTTTTATGTGATAATACTCTTGATGATGGTGGTGTCAGTGGACTAGTGGTTAGGCTACCAGACCCATAATCATGAGATTGCAGGTTTGGAGATTCGAGCATCAGATCGGTCTGACGTTGAGTCCTTGGGAAAGACACTTTACTTGAATTTCCCATTTGGCTCGGTCCTTTCAGAGATGGACGTTAAACTCGGAAGTCCTGCCTTTAGCATAACCTAATAACGTTGATAGGGGCGTTAAACCTAAACCATTTACATTTGCCTCTTTACTATATATTTTATGACATCACAAACAAAAGTTGGTTTGCAGTGTGGAGGAAACAAAATTACGTTCCCTAAAAGATTATCTGTTCCTACATCTTTACGGGCTGTAAAGTTGGCAAATCACCGAAACTGATTCATGAAAATTTGTAAAGTGTTTTTCAAACAGCTGCTTGTTCATGTAACACAGTTTAGTGAAGAGAGAGACACTGTTTTTGTTGATCCACGTTCTGATTGCTTAGATTCCTCTGTGAGCTAGAAAATGGTGGATGTTTTCTGGCACCATGTCGTCAAGCCGCTACCTTTTTGGCCTAAGTCAGACTTAGGCCAAAATGCAACTAACACACCGTTCGAATTGTTGTAACGTCTGCTATCACATTTTAATGAAATGAATAAAATCGGCCAACACATTTTCCTACAAATCCCGAAATAACACTTTGGCCAAAGTCAAAAATGACTACGGCCATAAGATTCTGGACGCGGTTTGGCCTATGTCAGAGATAGGCCAAACGGTTTTCAAAATCGTTTTGGCCTATGTCAGAGATGGGCCAAACGGTTTTCAGAATCGTTTTGGCCTATGTCAGAGATGGGCCATAAAACTAGCCTCGGCCGCCTTCCGTTCCTAGTTTCTTCCTCTCCCGCTACCCAAGATGGCGTCACGCAGCAGAACAACAATGATGTCAATCGCCAGTGCTTTAAGCCTTGTTTTGCAAGAAGAGAGTGATGGTAAGTGGTATAATTTATTTTCTCTTTTTCGTTTAGGTTCTAGGCCTAGGTTCTAGATATATGGCTATCAGGTTACTTATTATTATCAAGTTAATTTGACAATCAATGGCATTGGTCCTGGCTTCTACCCACGTCATTCCCGTAATCGTTATCATCCGCGGCCGTTAGCCGTGCCATTAGAATTAAGATCGAGATCTTATCTAGATCGAGATCAACTTTATCTTTCTCCTTAATTCTAGTTCATGTGATCTAGAGGTAGAGATCTTATTTTGTAAACAGATCAAGATCTCTAATTATTGTTTTTTAAATTTTTAATTAGAATCTAGATCTAAGATAGATTCTAGAACATTGTAGATTCTAGGGATCTAGATTCTAGATTCTAGATCTATTCATTAGCAGACGATGGATTATCATTTTCCTATCTTCTTTTTCTGATGATCTGTATCCTGTTAGAGTTTAGATTCTAGATTCTAGAGATGATGCTTTGTTATGATGAGAGAGCCAAGTCTTAAGTTTTTATAATTTCGTCATGGTCACTCCGTTGGGACGTCTGTTAAGGCCTGGACCTACTTAAATCTAGATCTAGAGATCTAGTTTCAATGTCAGTTGCCAGCGTGGTTGGCTCCGAGTCGGAGATAGAAAGCTCGACTTCGAAGCCAAAGGTAATGGATTCGATCAAACTCCATGTCAGTGACTTACACGCAAGTAGGACCTTGGTGTGCACACAGTAACTAATCAGCTAAATTCTAGATCCCGGTGCCCTCCTTGCCGCCACAGACAATATTTTTTCCACAAGGGATAGATTCTATGCTATAGCAGTATGTGTTTTAATTTATAGGCCTACCACACCTGCATGTATTTTTTTTAAATTTCAGATTCACAACAAAGTCAAAGTCTCGGCAGCAGCGGCAGTGAATTTGAGCCACCACCAGATCTAAAATCTGAGCCTGGAACCTTAGGGGAGGACCAGCCCAATTCAGTGACAGCAGCAGGTTAGTAAGCTTCTAAATCTATGCCATTAATTTCTGGTTTCTTAGGGAAGGACCAGCCCAATTCAGTGACAGCAGCAGGTTAGTAAGCTTCTAAATCTATGCCATTAATTTCTGGTTTCTTAGGGGAGGACCAGCCCAATTCAGTGACAGCAGCAGGTTAGTAAGCTTCTAAATCTATGCCATTAATTTCTGGTTTCTTAGGGAAGGACCAGCCCAATTCAGTGACAGCAGCAGGTTAGTAAGCTTCTAAATGTAATACCTTTAATTTCTGGAACCTTAGGGAAGGACCAGCCCAATTCAGTGACAGCAGTAGGTTAATAAGCTTCTAAATCTTACCTTTACTAGGCCTCATTTATTATGTGCATAAACTGGGAAATTTCCATCTGAATAGCATAGAGATCGTCGTTTCTTCAATGCTCATGCACATTACTGTTGTACAATGCAGTATGACAGGCACACTGAAAAGGTTTTTCCTCTTATCTCTCACTCTTCTGTTTTTTTAAACATTCTGTCCTGAGTTTTAATTCATTTCTTTTATTTATATATAATATATATATATATATATAATGTATTATAATGTAGCTTAAACATCTTGTCTGAGTTGGATTCATTATTGCAAGTTATAATCTTGTTCTCAATGTCCAGGTTCATCTTGCCGTGGGCTCATGAACCCTTTGGTGACTGGGCCTGCACAGGGAGGGGAGGACAACGATCTCATCACATCCCAGGTGGAAACTGATGAAGCTTGGCTCGGACCTTTAGCTGGTTTGTCTCACTTTCCACATCATCCAGTGAATAAAAAGAGTACTTTTAAGTTTACTGGGTCATTTAAGATCTGTTTCCTTTCAAATTCCCCAGTTAACCACGTTACTAGGCCATATTAATGGTAGTGTTTTGTTGGGGGGGTTGTGTTCTTACATTGCCATTTCCATATAAAGAAATTATATTCAGATTTTCAAAATAGTTTCTAATTATTAGGCCATACTGGTGGTGTTGTTTTTGTTAGATTTACAATTTACATAAATATATGAATATTAAAAATTGTACTGGAATAGTTTAGAGGATAATGAGCAGTTCTGTCTGTAAAGTTACAAGTTTTTTTTCCTTTCTCTTTCATTTGCAGCTCTTGAGTATATCGAGGAGCCACCCCCTCCTTCAAACGGAGACGAAAGTTTTGCTGATGGTGCAGTCAGCACTGTCGAGCAAGACGAGGAGCCACCGACTCCGATTCCTTCAAAGCGAGATGAAAATTTTGCTGACAGTGTAGTCAGCACTGTCGAGGAAGACGAGGAGCCACCGACTCCGATTCCTTCATACGGAGACAAAAGTTTTGCTCGCGGTGTAGTCAGCACTGTCGAGGAAGACGAGGAGCCACCGACTCCAATTCCTTCATACGGAGACGAAAGTTTTGCTCGCGGTGTAGTCAGTACTGTTGAGGAAGACGAGGAGCCACCGACTCCGGCTCCTTCTTACGGAGACGAAAGTTTTGGTGACAGTGAAGTCAGCACTGTTGATTTCAACAACACAGCAGGTTAGGCCCCTACTATTCAATAAAAGTGTGTCCCAGCGGTGTTATGCAAGTGTAATGCTTGATTTTATGTTTTTCGCTTTGTGTGCTGTTTTTAAACACATATGACCAACAAGCAGTTATTTCATCTATTCTCAACATGGTCAGATAAATGTTCCTTTTTTCAAAATCTTAATTGATGTTACCTATTCGATAACCTATTAATAGTGACAGAAATGCCACACGTTTTTCCCGTAGCATATTTACTTTAACTGTTCTAATGTGAGTTCTATAGATGAATTATATTGCTACACTACAAGTGGTTGGCAGGTAGCGTGAGTTCTATAGATGAATTATATTGCTACACTACAAGTGGTTGGCAGGTAGCACTGGTAGCTTCTACTTCTCTCCTAAGATTCTGTTTTATCTGTCGTCTTGCTGTTTCCTGGTGCTGAATGACTGTTATTATGTCAGTGTTTTCTTTATCAATTCAACTACATTGCTACATGAGCTTATTTTTCTTTATCTTTCTCTTTTTCTTTAGATGACCCTCTCCCTTCAAACCACGGTAAAAGGAAACCAGCCCCTCACACCTGGAGATGCAATGTAGCACAACATGCCCGACTGATAGGTGAGAGCTATGCCATGGAGCAAGCAGGCCAGAAGGAGGCAAGGGAGATGGGACCGGCCTGCACCTCTAACTTCTGTCTTAAATCTTCCCTGAGGCATTGTAGTGAGTTTAGTGAGGAGAGGAGGGGGGTTTTGTTTCAGGTGTTCTGGGGTATGAAGTCTTGGAAACAGAGGAAGACTTTTGTTCATGGTTGTACAAGTTCCCAGGACAAAAATCAGAGTAAGGCTCTGGGGAGGGGTCCAAAAGGAAACAGACCTTACAGTACTTCTTGGAAAATGACAATGGTGGTACTCTGCAGGTTTGTAGGGGAATGTTTTGCTCCACTCTCGGTGTGAGTGAAAAAACAATCCAGAACTGGGTGTGGGGGGGGGGGGGGGGGGGGGGATGCGCTGCCTCGTCCGGCTCCTCCTAGACCAACTGTTTCAAGAAGTGGACCTCATGAACCAGTCTCTCAAGAAGACCTGAAATTCTTGTCAGACTGGCTTCTTGAGATCCCTTCAGTGCCTTCCCACTATTGCAGGAAGCAGAAGACCTACGAAGGTGTTAAGTTTATCTTTTCAGACAAGTCCTAGGTGGAACTCCACCGAGACTTTGTCAGCTGTTGTGCTGTTGATGGCAAGAGGTCTGTTGGTACCAAGTTGTTCAACGAGACTTTT